GCAGTGCGTACGTCAGCGGCTCCCAGTGTTTTCTTAATGAAGATGAAGAAAGACGAAGTGCATGTGCCAGGCCGACACGTGGCGGGCTTAGACTTTGTAAGCTGAAATTTGCTTCTCTGTGTCGCCTGCGCGGATGCATGCACCCCGGTGAGGAGGGGAGGCCGGGAGGTTGGAAGGTGGGGCGGAAGTGAACAGGCGAGGAACACGCAGGGGGAAGTGTATTGCATGTGTTTCTCCGGTGGGTTGGTTTGGCGGATTGTTGCGGGTGGAGGAGAGAGAGAGAGAGAGAGAGAGAGAGAGAGAGAGAGAGAGAGAGAGAGAGAGAGAGAGAGAGAGAGAGAGAGATCCTGAGACGGTACCAGAAGAAGGATGAAAAAAAGAGAAGAAGAGGGGGAGAGAGAGAAGAAAAATGCGCCAGCGTCTGCCCCGTTCTCTGTCCATTTATGTTTGGAAAGGCGGTTCTGGTGCAAACAGGAGCGGTGCGAAATCCTGGGGTCAACCACCGCCGCGTAGGACGGGACCGATAATGGAGGGACGTGACGAGTTTTGTTGGGCACACTGTTGGTGGTCGACCTGACCCGGGGCAATATTTGTCTCTTCGCAGAAGACGTAGGTTGCGAAGCGTCGCTCATTAATGACATGTCGATAAGCCCTGAGGTGACGTGCTGCGCCGCCAGCGAGGGAGAAGTTGATGTCAGGCAGAGGGAAGAAAGAGGGGGGGCTGTGGGGGAGGACGCCAAATATGACTTGTCCCAGTCGAGAAAGGAGTTGGGCGTTCGAGTTTGTTAAAAAAATCAGAAAGGTGGGGGTTAAAGTGTGGCGTGATGGAAATGCACTAAAAAACGGAGGAGAGAGAGAGAGAGAGAGAGAGAGAGAGAGAGAGAGAGAGAGAGTTATCTGCCCTAAGGGGGGAAGATGGGCGACAAGAGAAGGAGAGAAGGGAGTAGGTGCGAAATTAGTGCGAGGAATCTGTCAGTGTGCCACTGGATGGGGTGTAGGCCAAGTGAATGGGAGGAGGATGACGACAGGAAAAACTTAACGGAACGCAAAGGCAGTGCCCACGCCGCAAAGGATCCGCGAGGGGATACGGGATGCGGAATGGACGTATGGACATAGGGCCGCGTGTGTTGGGTGGGGGTTGTGCGCGTGCGTGTGTGTGTGTGTGTGTGTGTGTGTGTCATGTTATCGTTGTCGCGTACTTAATCTCCCTTGACATCTGTCTTTATCGGCTCTTGTGCAATTGGTCCCTCTGTTGAATGTGCGGAATGCTCCCTCCCTGCTACGGTCTGGGTGTTCCTCATGCTCGCAGCCCGCTATTTCATCTCGCCCGCTGTTTATTACAAAATCATTATTATTACAATTACTATAATATAATATGTTGTTGCTATTTAGTTTGAAATTTGAGTTCCTTTTTTTATGTTGTCGGTTCTTCTTTCTGTCTTCCACCTCTTCACCGACTGGCAATTGCTCACGTTGTTTTCTGTTTTCGTACCTAATGCGTAAAAGGAAAATCTACCATATTCTCCTGATTGGATGGTGGTGGGGTGTATAGCTGTACGACATCATTCCGCTGCCGCATTTCTCCTTGCGTACGCCGCGTTCGCGACAGTCTAACGTCTCGTCTGTTATGTCGCCTCAGAGCCAACTGGTAGTTTTTGTTTGTTGTGGTCGATTTTTGGTACCTTTGACCACTTTATAACTGTTTTTTTTTTTCTTTTGTGCAAGAAACTTACTGTAGCTCATAGGAACTTTTCGGTTCCTTCTTGCTGAGTAAAGGAAGAGAAGATGTTGAAGTTGTCGCGGGTGGGCGGAGGAAAAGGGGAGGGAGTAACAGAAACCGTAGCTGTAGGAGAAAAGGTGTGTGTGTGTGGGGGGGGGGGGGGGGGGTAGTTAGTAGTGCCGAGCACGCGAGTACAAACTGCTTCCGGCTTTGCGTGAAGGGTAAATGGAGCACAGAAGTGGGTGTGAGTTGTTGCCCGCTTTCAACATCCGTTTGCAGGGGAAAAAAAAAAGAATGAAAAAAAAAAAAAAACTCATTGCAGCCAGCTGAACGTGATACGGGTAGTGTCCGCCTCTGATGTGTATCTGTCATGGCAAGGAATGTCTTCATTTGCTTGTTTCTTTCGACGCGCACAAGGTTTTAAAAAAAAAGAGGTCCAAATGCCGCCGCGCCTTTGTGCTATGTCAACCACAAGAGAGAGTTCCACACATATACACAGAGAGAGAGAGAGAGAGAGAGTAGTCGTGGCAACTTGATTCGTGCTGTTCGCCGGCAGCGAACAATTTCAGTTGGCTACCAGACTCCGTGGTCTTTCTCTGCGTTCTCGTTTTATGGGACTATTTATTGGACTATGCCGCTAGGGAGGATTAGAAAGAGAGAAAGATGTGGCGACAATGTATCTGGTGGAATTGGGTGTCTACGTTCAGCCCGAAACCCACGGCCATCCTCACGCCTTGCATTTCCCACATGAACCGCAGTGCTCTTGAATGGCTTATCAACGGAGGGATGTCCGTTCATGGCGGAAGAATGCGTAAGCTTTTGCAGGCGTATTGACCTCCTGTCTACAGTGTGGACAGGTAGGAGGTTCTTCAAATGGTTCTCTCCTCTGTGCAAATCTCATCAGGTAGAAGATGGAGGTTATGGTGACGAGTGTGTACAGCCACCTCCCTCCCTCCCTCTCTCCCTCCCTCTCTGGGAGGCCTGTCACCCGCAGGCACTCAGTGACATCGTGAAACCCGCGCCTAGGCCACGTGTACTCGCGTGAGGCTCGGTGGTGTCGTGCGTTGTCTAGAAGACACACGAAGCTTCATACGTGATGTGCTGTTATTTTATTTTTATTTTTTATTTTGCTGTTGATTTAGATAATCTCTGGGTGAAAAAAAAAAAAAAAAAAAAAAAACCAAAGAAAACGAAATTGATAATCTCTTGGGGAAAAAGGGGGAAAAAAGAAAGAGAAAATATAATCTCTGGGTGGGGTGGTTGTCGAGTCAACCAACAAAAGCGCTCGTTAAGAGCTTGTGCTTTTTCCCCCGGGAAAAAAAGAAATGATAATCTCTGGCGCTTGTTAAGAAAAAGAAAAAAAAAAGTAAAAATCTATCCGAAGGACGTCGGTTTTCCTTGCAAGATGGCATACCGCCTCTAGAACTTTCCTAAAATGCATCTGTGACCGTTAGAACTTTCCTAAAATGCATCTGTGACCGTAAGTACTGATTACGTTCAGACCTGGATGAACCTGGCTGCAATCACGTCGAGTGCGTAGTAGAAAAAGTCCCGAGTGTGACTATTGCCCTGAGAAGGGTATGTCTGAAGTCGAGAGCGAATTTCTGTCCTTTGTAGCAGCAGCAGCAAACCCGAGACCTCTCCTGACTAGCGAACGACGACAACACTTTTGTGTTTTTCTTTGGCGCCTCCGTGAACTAGCGTTGTCGAGTCGTGAGAAAAGCGGCACCTTCGGGGCTCGCTGCACTAGTCTCGACATGCACAGAAGACAAAAATCGTGGCGGTGCATCTTTACATATTCTAGCGGAAGATTCACTCTCGTTTTGCACATTTCGAGAGTAGTGCAGCCAGGCCCTTTCTCTCTCTATGGGTCCTCGCTCCACCGCTTAGCAGTCGAAATGCAGTGGTGTTGTAATTGGCAACGAGTTCGGGTGCTACTGTCTTCTCCGGAACATAACGCACCCTAAAAATGAATGTATACAAGCTAGACTTCCGGCCAGATAACCCCCAAAATAAGGGTGCGTTGTGTTCGGGGGAAGACGGTAGTGCTGGACAACTGACCCGCCGTCGAGGACAGTGGCGTTGTAATTGGCAAAGGAGGCCACGAAAGCGCTCGGGATTGGGAGGTGTTTAGAAAAGGAGGAATGTTAAATATAAAAAACAAAAACAAAGAAAACGACGCATTGCGCAACATTCCGGAGCGTGACGAACGGCTCACTCCGTGAAATGTGCTGCGTGAGAGAGAGATTCGGGAGGCTGTCACTCAATTCAATTTCAGCTCTAATGGGCGGCTTCGTCCGCGCACGAACGCTGAAGTTGACCCCCCCTCTCTCTCTCTCTCTCTGTGTCTGTGCTGCGACGTGGCAGTGCGATTGCATGCTCTCTCTCTCTCTCTCTCTGAGTGTCTCGTGATTTCGAGCAGCCGGGAGAGAGGAGTGAGCGTTCTGAAGTAAGGCTGGTGGCTTGATTGCTTTGGGGTAGCCAGCTTCAATTTTCGGCATTGTAAGTCAGTATCTAGCGAAAAAGAAAACGGGTTTGTGTTTAGCCGTTAGAGGGAGCTGCTTTCAATTCGGGGCTCCTCTTTCAGCCACCGATGACGTCTCTGCTATCGGTTGCCACTAGTAAGATCTTATTCGCGCATTTTTACATTTTTGCTTGTGCAAGCGTTTGTGGCTGGGGTCGATATGAAAATGCGTGTCTGCGTGCGTGCGCGCGCGCGCGCGGACGCCTTGTTAACTGTGCGCAGGCTGCCGTGTTCACCCGAATAGAGCGCCCGGTCATTATTGCTGTATTTGGGCCAACTTTAAGTCTAGATGAAGAGACAATTACCGGGCGTTCTATTCGGGTGAAGACGGGTAGTGGTTCTGTGACTCTCTAGGGGCAAAAATGAAGTGGGGTAAATTAAAAAAAAAGGAAGGTGTGGCTGTGAATCGTGTGAATTCACGTCCATCGTCTGATTGTGACCGTTAGTTTTGCAGAGAGAATACCGTAGCGTCACTGCGTGGATAGACGGGAGGAGAACGACAAGTCGGTGATGTGATAGTGTGGACCGCTCTTAGTCGCAGCTCTTTACTGATATGCTATGAGCCTGCGCGCCTGTGGAATCTGGCTTCCCTGTTGTGGAACAAACTGAACGCGGAAATGTTACGGGTTTCCATTCCTCGCAACGACTCTCTCTCTCTCTCTCTCTCTCTCTCTCTGTCTGTCTCTCTCTCTCTTCTCTTTTGCGGGCGCGGTGTCGCGCTGTGTCTGCCTCTTTGTGTCTCCGACGAGAAAACCTGGTCTCTCATTCGTTGCCGTAGTGAGGAAGACGTTGTGACTCACGGCGGTCGCGGTCGCGGTGGCGGTCGCGGTGGCGGTCGCGTCCGCGTTTTGAACTAGAGGCGCAGAGGCTTGCCGTACGACTCGCGAAATGTGAGGAATGGCAGTGTACTGCCCAGTTATTATAACGTAATGGCCACTCTCTCGATTTGCGCGCGTGTGCTACTTGCCCAGGGCACGTCACAAATCTTCTCGATTTGTGCTCGTCGACCTTGCCCAGGGGATATGGAAATCTTCTCCGTATCGTTCCAGTTCTTGCCACTTGTAACATTCAGCGAGTAGTGCCATGCGGCTGACATTCTACTGGCCCAAATTTGGCCTCGCACCTCCTGCCGCCAATTTTCCGTCCATGCCACTCGGTCTCAGCAGGTCTTCCGTGCGAGCCACGGTATCCTTTCGCAAGTGCCGGCAACCGGGCTGTGCGACATCTGGCCTCCTGCGAGTAGTGCCATGAGGCACACACATTCTACTGGCTCAAATTTGGCCTCGCACCTCGTGCCGCCAATTTTCCGTGCATAGTCCTTCGGTGGGACATCCGCTAAAATTGGAACGATACAGAGAAGATTGCATGGCCCTGAGCAAGGATGACACCCATAAATCGAGTCGAGAAATGGGCCAATTTTCCGTTCCGTGCATGCCAGTCGATCTCAGCAGGTCTTCCGCGCAAGCCACCGTATGGACCTTTCGCAAGTGCCGGCGAACGGGCTGTGTGACATCGGGCCTCGTGAAATATGCGCCATAGGGATGGCGTTTTCCGTGGTCGGAGGTGCAGGAGCGCGACTGGCTGGCCTTTTTCTCGGTGCACTACGTTTTCTATTGGTTTCTGTAGATGTGGGGGGCCCAGGGAATATATTGTTCTACGTGGGCGGCTGCCTTTCGTCCTCCCAAAACATGGAGGGGGAGTAGTTATGGGTCGCTCTCCACCACTCACCTCATGCTCAAAAGAAAAAGAATATGGCGGAGTATCTCTCCGTGTTCTAGCAAAAGATGCATTCTCGGTTTGCACAGTTGGTAAGTGGTGGAGCGAGGCCCTAAGTCTCACCCATCTCACCCATTGCTAGAGCCAGATGAAGGTGAAGGTAGGTCCCCCTCCGTGGGCTTCCTCCTGTAGGACTTCGCTCCACGACTCACGACATGCGCCAAAAACAGAGGTTATGGCGGTGCATCTTTCCACACTGTGCTGGAAAGTTCTTTTTCTTTTCTTTTCTTTTTTTTCCTCGTTCTTTTCTAAGATCCTGTGTTGTTGTAGAAGCCGGACTCCGCACATTTGGTGGGTGGTGGAGCGGAGGCCCTAAGGACCAGATAATGGTTAGGTCCATTGGATGTTTCACCTGTTTGCAGTCCGTAGCAAATGGGTTTATTGAACTTTATTCATCGGAGGCAGGGTCTACTACATATCCTCCCCCTGTAGGACCCAGGTGGTAGTGCGAAGAACGGGGATTTTGGAGGAAGGGTTTGAGTCTACCCTGTCCTCCCCAGGAACAAGGGGGTAGTGCCGAAGGTGTGGATTTTCGGGGAAGGGCTTGGAGGGGGGCACCGATGACCGATGTCGTAATGTGAAGAGTGCAGTTTTGAGGAAGGGTTTGGAGTCAACCCTGCCCTCTGTAGGTCCAAGGCAGTAGTGCGAATGGTGTGCATTTGTGGGGAAGGGTTTGGAGGGGGTTGCGGAGCGGTTGTTGGGCAGTGGATGTGCATCAGGGTTGTTGGGTGGAGGACAGGTGGAACTGCATCAGGGCATGTTAGGTGACCGGATGCTGTTAGACATCCATTAAAAATTGGAACAACTGCTGCTCCTGCTGTGTCCATTGACCGACTGTTGAAAGTACTCTAGCAATGGCTCTTCCGTAAGGACGGGTAGTGTTGCTTTACTGAGGGCCTCGCCGGACTGTATGGCACACGAAAAAAAAAGGTCGCGAATGTTTCACCGCACAGCACTCCTGCGGACCCTGTCAGTCAAACCTCGCGAATTGTGTCACACTCCAAGGTCGCGAGGGTTGCAGTTGCTGTCCCCATGCCTGTAACTCGCGCGAACTCGCAGGTCCTGCAGAGGTCTGCTGGTGGAGCTGCGAATCCGAGCGAGTGCACCACGTCGTTCCAAACAGTGTCAGGCCAAAGTTTCGGACATTTGTGCATGTCAGGCCTCACACAAACTCTTCAGGCCATTCCCGCGAGTGATTTCGCATGTGCTGTGCGGCGGTGGTGCAAAAAAGGAAACATAATTGTGATGTTCGGTCTCTCTTGAGTCTCAAGTTCGTTTCGTTTCGTTTCGTTTTTCATACCGTCCGGCGAGACCCTGAGTGAGGGAAAGATGTTAGTTTGAAAGGCTCCGATAACGTGTTGGAAGGTACCTTTTTCAAAAATATATGAGTCGGTGAAGCTCTGAAGAGACAGTTTGTCACAGCCCCTTTGTTGTCCTCTTCTTCCTCTCTGCGCACGGTTTACCGGGCAGCTCTGTTTGACAAAATATATATAAGACGCTGGCAAACTATGTCGGGAACCCCTCTGCCAGAAATGACAAGAAACAACGGCAGCAAGAAGACAAAAAAACATGCTCAGGTTGACAAAGCCCCAACTTCTGCACCCCTGCCGTATGGGCGAGCTGCACACATCTCCCTGGTGGTAAACAGATTATCGTTGTTGTTTTTTAATAACCATGGTCTGCTGACCGTAATAGACCAGCTGAACCATGTCCGGTGGCTAACGGTGTGTGCCTGTTTGTGATCTGTAACAGGACCGAAGAATGGGGTCGGGAGTATTGCCGTCTGAAGAGGCTGGGAGCTCATCAGGGAGCAATAGTGGCAGTGATGATGGCAACTTCGAGGCTGGCAATGGAACACAAAGTATGGCTCCGGGTGGGGTGACTGTCATGTCAGGAGGACATGCAATTGAAGGCAGGGGTGAAAATATACCAACGACATCCATGGGTCAAGGGAGAGGTGAAGAGATGACAGTAAATGGTCTGGGTTTGGATTCGTCAGGTGGAAAGGGCTGTGGGAGAAGCGAGGGTTTGACAGGGTCAACAGGTATGCGGATGGTTGGTATGGATGGAGAAGGAGAAGAGGGAGGGAGTGAGAAAGTCGATGGGGGGATCTCCAGTGGGGGTGGGCTCTGTACTTCGCAGGAGAAAACCAAGCGACCCGACAAAGCTGTTGCTTGCCCACGGTGTGAGAGCTTTGATACAAAGTTCTGCTATTACAACAACTATAATGTCAACCAACCTCGTCATTTCTGCAAGGGTTGTCAGAGGTATTGGACTGCAGGGGGTACACTCCGTAATGTTCCGGTGGGAGCAGGGAGACGAAAGAACAAGCACTCACAGCAGAAAAGTGCAAACGGTCAAGCGAATGTAAGCTCCGGTGGAAACCCAGCCCGAAATAGCTGTGGAACAGCAAGTGCTGGCATTGGGTCAGTTTCTGGGACAGTTCCAGGGCCTGGATCGTCGTCAGGTTTCCCAAACTCGTCAGTGCCGGGATGTGTCAGATTGGAGGTGGAGGACGAGGTCAGCCCTTCTGGCATGACTTCAGAGCTTGGAAGAGCTGATGGAGCTCCCACAAGGTTTCCTGCGGGCACCAACTGTGGAGTTGCCAGGCCAATTCCTACCTCCGCATTGCCAGCCGGACTGGGGATCATGGGCCTGGGAAGGGGACTGGTTGCCGAAGAGACTACCTCGCTGCAATATGGGGTATTCCAGCAGCTGCAGGGGCTCACTGCTCCACCTGTTCTTCCAGGAGGGGCGGTGGAAGGGTTTGGTGTGCCTGGATTAGGCATTCCGGGTTCAGGGGTAGAGGGGTTATTGGGACCTGATGTCCGGCGCAAGAAACAGAAGACGAGGCGGCTTCAGCAGGGTGTTACGCCCACTGGTTTGGCAACACCAGTTAGTGAAACTCTAGGCAGCAATGAAGAAGAGGAGAGTGCCGCAGTGGCCAGAGGCTTTTGCGCGGTTCGAGAGACCACAGATGCGTCCACTTGCACATCCTCCATGGCAAACACGAGTGTGTGCATGAGCTCAGTGAGCAGCCTGAATGCAGATGGAGAAAGAATGAATGACCTGACAGGACCTTCAATGATGCCTTCACAAGTTGGAGTGCAGGGATCATCAGTGTGGGGACCACCTCCACCACCATCTGTGGGATTGGTGCGAGGGCCAGGGGGCATGCAAGTGGATTCGCTGGGCGTCAGTATGGGTATGTTCAAAACGCCGGGAATGGAGGCGGGAGAGCTGGCAAGCGCAGCAGCAAGTGCAGGTGCTGGTGTTTGGCCAAGTGTGACACCCACAGCGGCGGCGATGCATGCATCTCCTGGAACATGGGGTCCTGCAAGCACGGGATCGCCCTACGGGTATTTCAGTGGTGCGTGGCCGTTTGGATACCACTTGGGCTGGAATGGGCACCATGGTGGTGCCATGGCTGGTGCTGGACCGGCAGCTTCAGGTGCTGCGGGATGGGCCAGCACTGGACTCTGGCCAGGGGGCTGGGCTGGGCTTTCTCCAAGTTCCCCTTGGGGTGCTGCAGCTGGTTGGGGAAGCTTATGGGGGATGCCATGGGCAAATGCAGCTGCAGCTGCGGCTGTGGCTAATGCATCTGCAGGAGTCTCGCCGGCTTCTGTGCTTGGCAAACATATGCGTGATGGGGGTGCCGCTGTGATGATGGGAAAACAAACGGTTGACGATGCGAACTGTCTGGTCGGTCCTAGTGTGGGGAACCCTCCTGCAGGAATGTTAAGCCCAACAGGGCAATTCAAACCAAAGGGGTTGCACGAGGCAACCGAAGGCAGGAACAGAGGTGTGGGGGAGGATGGTGGATCGGAAGAAGGGGTAATGGAGGGAGGGGGAGACATGGGTGGAATGGTCTGGGCACCAAAGTTGCTCAGGACCGGTGACGGAGTGCACGGGGATGGCAGGATAGGTGGATGGAGTGCAGGAAAGGGGTTGTCAGGGCCAACTTCAGGCCTGGGCAGCATGTTCAGGGCTTTCAACGGAGGGATGCCAAAGGCACCGAGATTTGAAAACTCCTCTTCACCCGTCAGCTTCGAAAAAAGGCTGTTCTCTCCCGATCAGAATGCGCGTTTGGCCAATCCTGCTTCTATCCCTAGGTCCATGGCTTTTCAAGAAAGCAACTAAATCTCTCTCTCTCTCTCTCTCTCTCTCTCTCTCTCTCTCTCTCTCTCTCCTGTCTCTTATACACATCTAGATGTGTATAAGAGACCCCCCCCCGTGTGTGTGCATGCGCACGTGTGCACTCATTTGCCTGGCCCTGATCGCCTGTGGTGGATGTGGAGCGAATTCTTGGTTCTGTTTTTTTTCTGCATGTATCGGCATGCTTGCCATGCGGGCAAAGCTCTCTCTGAGTCGACAGCACTAGTATGCTGTGTGTACAGCTTCCTGTATTGTAAGCGGAGAATGTACGTTAGTTTTACTGCCACCAGTTTGGAGGCTGGCAGGTATTTGTCGTCATTGGATGGCGATATTCTTTCTTTCATTGTTTCCTTTTTCCTGCTCATTTTTTACCTTCTTTCAATCCGTTATTCGTCGTGCTTTTGGAAAGGTGGACTTACCTTTGACAAATTCACCTGTAGGGGTACTTCGCTCTAATCTGATGGATGTGCACTTTCCCTTCCTCATCAGTTCACATCCACAGAAGACTCTCACTTGTGCTCGCACAACAGTTCTCCTGCTGGCATGCCTTCTCATGGACCGATTTTGAGCTGCCCTTGAACTAACTGACAAACCACCCACCCAACCAACCGACCGACCGATGGTCCACTCAGCCGCCAAGTATGCGATCATCATGCGTGCGAATCGTACACTAGTACACTCCACCCTCGTATCCACCTTTTGTTGTGGTTGTTTCTGCAGTGCATCCGAATACCGTACTGGTTTCGCGTTTTGCAGTGCTAAGTGCAACTGCAGTTTGCGCTCTTGAGTGTGGCTGTCGTTAGTAATTTTGCATCCTTGCAAGTGTTCAGGTAGCATCCTGTTGGACGGTCTGAGCAGTACATGTGTGATATATGCAGGGACATTATGGAGGATGGTTCCGTTTGCGACATGACCGCTCCGTCCGAATCCAGTAGCGTTGAGGTTATCAAGCATGCCCTCGCAGATTTTGATGATTTCAAACACTGAATAAGGAAAAGTTGAGATGTGCTCTCAATTTCTCCACTTTAGGTGCTTAGTGACTTGCGGCTTTACATCCTTTGTAAAGACATTTATGAGACAGGAGCTCGGGAACTCTGGTGGTGATGAGAACTGGGAGTTTTTGGAGAAAGCTACTGCATGTGTTTTTATTTTTAACCCTTGAAGAAGGGTTGTGAATTACATCTCTCATATGTTTATTTTACGACGGACATGTCTGTTGTCGGCTGCAATGGCCACCCTCAAGTGATGTTCCCTTGCCTCCTTTATACTCCTGGAGAAACACAGTAAGTCAGTTGTCATGTTCCCGTCCTCTCTCGCTCAAGTTTTGGCTGCGAGACCAGCTTTTGCTTCGCCGTTGTGGGTTGGGGCCCCTAGTGTGAAGTTGCGGATATAGTGGATGGGGCTGCGTGCCCTTGTGGTCATGTGTTTGATGGAGGTAGTAGTGTGCAACACGTGCGTGGGTGTTGTTGTTGTGTGTGCGTGATGTAATGTAAGACCACTACAGCCATGCAGGGGTGGGCTGGATATCTTGATCGGTATGGTTTCAATTTTGTACACTGTGCCATGGCTGTAGAGATGAAACTCGGCTCTTGAGACTGACCGCGCTGGTTCGAAAGTATGCCTGCATGGAGAATGTCCAAGGCTGGAAATGGCGGTGACTGACTTTTGCTTCGGGCAGAATTGTCTCTCTCCATGTCTGCATATCTGGTTCGTTCATGCCTGTTTTTTTTTTTTTTTTTTTTTTTTTTTTTTTTTTTTTTTTTTTTTTTTTTTTTTTTTTTTTTTTTTTTTTTTTTTNTTTTTTTTTTTTTTTTTTTTTTTTTTTTTTTTTTTTTTTTTTTTTTTTTTTTTTTTTTTTTTTTTTTGTTGTTGTTGTTGTTGTTGTTGTTGTTGCCAGATTTGTTATCCGCTGTGCGTATGGGGCTTAAGAAGTGTTTTGTTTTTGGCTTTGGCAATGCCCACACTGGACCGTTTTGGAATTGTTTGATTGGCGGATGCAAGACTTCTGCATCCCCCGGATCGAGGGCGTATCGGTTACGTGCCTTCCTCCCACATCCCCTTGTCTGGTTGCTTACCCCCTGCCCCTATGAGTCTTCTTGACGTGGCTCTTGCACTGTGGTATGGTATGTAAACACCCGTTTCTCTCATCGCCACCGTTATATTTTGTGGTGCACTCAATGCCTGTCTCTTGTGGGCCTGGTGGATTTGCTCACTACCGTGTTCACCCGAACACAATGCGCCCTCATTTCGGCTGTACCTGACCTGAAATATAGGTTCTACCCATTCATAATCAGGGTGCGCTGTGTTAGGGGGAAGACGGTCGTGTAAGGCAACAAGGCAGGTTGGAGAGCTGTCAAAAGGCTTCTTTCAGCATCGGCCAGGAAAAAAAAACAAAAAGCCCCATCCCATTAATCTTTTGTGTCAAGGCGTTTTTTCCTTTTTTCTTTTTGGAATACAGTCACCACATTTATTGCAAATATAGCACAGGGGCCTGGGGATCACCCCACAAACAACCCAGTACAAGACATGCTCGGGCCCTCACCCATCTGTAGGCTCTTGAAACCAGGTCCAGTGTCTATTTTCAGCAGTTCTCCCAAACAGAGAAAAAGGGGGTTGGGATTTAACAGCCCATCCAGAACCACGCCATCTAGATCGACTTCAGGACTTTTGCCTCTTAACTTTCTACTAGGGACTCTCAAGGCGGGGACCTAAAACACACCCCATGTTCGGTGGGGGGGAGCAGCCATGGTGCAGCACTGACCCTACCTGACGGGTTCAGCTTCGCTCATCTGAACTCTCTCCCCCATGCATCCCCAAACCATCTCCTAGAGTTTCATGTCTGTCCTTTTTCTGATCTTTGAGACCAGTCACTCTGAATGCTTGTCCTAATGTCAACCAATCCTGTTCTTAATTGCCAGATCTAACATGTGTTGTCCCTTGAATAACTGATTGTTCCTGTCCTCCCATATTGCTTTCATGATGATTGCTCTAATCGTCTGTGAGCTATATACAGCCAACTGTTCTCCTGTTTGTCTGAATCCCTGTGAGTGGCTGAGACTCTCCACTCCTCGTACCACTGAAAACCTACTCTTGCGATCCGGTTCCAGTGGTAAATCCACCACTTCCCAAATGTGTCTAGAGGCTGGATAGGTCAGCTAAAGATGCATGTTTGCTTCCCAAATCCACCTACATCGTACACAGCTAGACAAGATGTTCGTACCTTTGTTAACTAAACAAACTGCTGTTGCTGTTGCCCAGAACAGTTGTAACCACAACGTACTTGCCAACTTTTGAGAGGGAATAGTTTTAAATTGTCTGCAGAGGAACTGTGTTTCCTCTTCCGAGATGGGCAGAAGATCCTGCTCTCTGTTGTGTTTTTCAGTTACCAAAGCAGGCTTCTTGAGAACCTTCGATCTCAGCATGTCTGTTCCTTTTTTGGAGGAAGATTGGTCTAGCGTAAAAATCACCTTTTTTTTCCTTATCACTCCACCACCCTGCGACTTTGATGTCCACAGGGGCTTCTTGCAAAACGCGTGGTTCCCTAGGAAGAGAAACTTTTTGTAGCAGGGCACCCCCTGCTGGAGCTGTGTGGATGGTCATATTCTCGCTGCTATCTCCTCCATGACTTTCAATGATGTCACTCTCAGTGCTTCTCCGTTAACTAGTTCTCTGATATGTTCAAAGTCTCATGGCGTCTTTCATTCCACGGCTGCGTACCCTTCTTCCCCCATATCATCTGTGACTTGCAAACTCTTATCTTCGTCCCCTTTTTCCCTGCACCAGTACCCTGTCTTTCGAGAGAAGGTTAACAACAGTCGTATTTTTCATCACCACTTCAGGACACTCTTCACAACTTCAGGATGCAGCCTGCCTAAACAGGTGGTTTTCAAGGTCTTCGGACCTCTCACCACTTCAGGACACCCTTCACCACTTCAGGATGCAGCGTGCCTAAACAGGTGGTTTTCAAGGTCTTCGGACCTTTCACCACTTCCGGACCATTCAGGTCTGAAAATCCTGAATGGTCCTGAAGTGGTGAAAGCTCCGAAGGCCTTGAAAACCACGTGTTTAGGCAAGCTGCATCTTGAAGTGGTGACGGGTGGTTTTCATGGTCTTCGGACCTTTCACCACTTCAGGACCATTCATGATTTTCAAACTGCCAAAAACTCTCACTTGACCACTTCAGGAAACACTTCACCACTTCGAGATGCAGCGTGCTTAAACAGGTGGTTTTTAGGGTCTTCGGACCTTTCACCACTTCAGGACCATTCAAGGTTTTCAGACTGTCCAAAACTCTCACTTCCGAGAGGAGCGATACCCACCTGTTCGGTGTAGCCTACCGAATATGTGCTAGTCTTTTTGGTATTTTACTAAGTCTTCAAAATTTATTTTTCAATTCTCGAGTTGTCCTCCAGGTCTACTTCTAATTGTCCCAGATGTCTCTTACCCGCACAACTTGCGTCAAGATTGTCGTTTTAGACGATGGCTGCTCTTGGTTATGTAACACGCCGTACGTCGTACGGGGCTCTGGTCGTACAGCCGCGTCCCATGGCCGTATGAACGGTTCCGTTCGAAATAACGACCCCCCCCAAAAAAAATACGAAAATATACGTCTCTGCCTACGGTTTATCGGGCAGTTCTGTTTGACGATATATATATTTACCGGACAGTTTTATTTGACGATATATATATATATAT